TTACTGCGCTTTTTGCACAGTTAAAGGAATCTTCCGCGGAAAAAGCTCCGCCTCCATTACCACAGAAAAACGATACCCCTTAGGCCCCTAGCCTCATGAGCATAGCAAAAAGAACGGAACATAAGCGTTAGTTTCGATAATACTAATCCTACACACAAGACAAAATGATCACTCTTTCCGTGGAAGATTCCTTTAAGGTATCGTTTTCTGTGGTAATGAGGGCGGAGCTTTTTCCGTGGAAGATTCCTTTAATTTTAAGTCTTTATTCTGTACTGCTCTGTGAAGTGTGAAGCATTAAAACTAAAGCTCTCCTATACAACAACAACAACACAACAACAACAACAACAACAACAACAACAACAACAACAACATAGAGCATTGGAAACATTGGACGTTAGTCACTTACCTTTGAGTATTTGCCCCGTATTTGACCTCCGCTTGGAACCGTAGTAGCATTTGAATGCTACTTGACCTATACGATGACTATGACTAGCCGTAGTTAGTCGGTGTACAAGACAGTATTTATTTAATTTATTTATTTATTTATTTATTTATTTATTTATTTATTTATTTATTTATTTATTTATTTATTATATACTCGTATGAGTGCCACTGCTAACTTAACATAAGACCAAAGGCAAAAGCAAGGGAAGTTATATAAAGAGTAAAGGTAGAGGTGAAGGCCAAGCTGGAGATGTCCGTCCGCAGCTGAATATTGATGATAAAAATATATAATTTTTCTTCTAAATAATTGTGCCAGTGCTTTGCGGCAACATAACAGCCCGAAGTAGATAGAACAAACAACATGTATCCACACCAGTTGGCCATGGTGCCAATACTTGTGAAGGATGTTGGAACAGGTCGGAACTTCGGCACACGGGTATGCCAACCTCCCACGTGGAACCGACCTGCCGGATACATGCGTGGTTAGAAGGAATTTCTTGAGTTCCAGACAAATCCGATACTGATCAAAGGACCCATGGAAATTGAAGGCATGGTTGAATCTAGTGGCAGTTTATTCCAGAAGGCGAGTGGATTCATCGCCCCGAAACGGATCAGAGGAAGGTCAGCGAAACCTTTCTGCTAACCGAGGTCGGTAAGCTGGTGCCAAATTTTCTAATCTTTGGGGAGAAAAACGGGAAAATGTAATCGGGAAAATGTAATCAGCTGCTCTTGGTAAAGCCTTGTATAGGCGAAATCATATTCTACGCCACGTCATCGATGCAATCAGCTAGGCGAAAGTTGTATGCTCACGAATAACAATAAGGGATTGATCATAGCGGAAGGACCGATGGCTAATAATCTGCAATAACGACATTTTGCTGCAACGATTTGATCCGTACGGTATCTCTGCACGTTCAAGGGTTGAAATGATGAAACCGTTTTACTTGATGGGGATTGGGGCAGATCGCCATACTCAAGAACCTGGAAGCAGGGTCAACCCTACGTTGGTACAAGTACCAAGTACCAATCACGTGAAATTGAGGTGAAGCTAAGATTTCGTGGGTAGTAAGCTGGGCGACCCCCCCCCCCCGCTCGACGGCATTTTTGGAGGAAAAAGTGGGCGGGGTTTTGATGGAAGATGGAGATGGTGGAGGTAGGGAAAAGGGGGTCGTATCAAATCCACCTTGGGGGAGGGGGGTCGTAAAAATTTTTCGAAAAGTAACAACGATAGGACCGACCCTGGTTGGGAGGCAGCCCGAGAACGCTTCCAAGGGGTTGTGATGAGACCAGTCTCCCTGTCCCCCTCCAGCACCTTTCTACCAATTCTTCCTACACCTCTCACAGCTTCAAGCATAATTTGAAATTTAGGGTGACAACGATCCGAAACTGAAAAATGTCCGTCAAACAGAAATTCTTGTGGACTTAAAGGACTCGGTGCTTCAAATCTGTCGCTATTTTATCAGCTGCGACGAGAAAATGGAGATGAATATATCCACCAAGGTATGCTCCTTTATTGTTGATTCATCTTTCTTCCAAAAAACCCGTCGGTCAAGCTGTTGATTTATTCCTTGACTCGGCGAATTTATTAGCTCACCATTTCCTAATTTTCTCAATCTTGTCTATTTGTAGGCTGACTATAGTCCAGAGTCACATGCTCATGATATAGAAAACTTTCTGGCTGGTCGACGGGAAGGTCATAAGAGAGCCAGAGCATTGCTCGACTTTGCCCGTCAAGATGAGGATGAGTTGGGATTCCGGTGAGCATCTCATGCTTAATTGGCTCTTTAATTACGTCTCATTATGCTGATGAAAACAATGTTAGGAGTTCTATCAAATGTGGAGTTGTTCAGAGGAAACTTTTTTGGAGGATCATTCCTGAGAGTGGGCCAGGTGATCCAAGTCGGGGCTCCGGTGACTTCGCGTGGCGTCATATGCACTACGAGCACATTGAGGAGGAATCACGCTGTCGTGCGCAGTAACCAAGTTTTTGCCCACGGGATTCCTTTACCCAGATCCCTGCAAGAACCGACTGTATTTTTCGTATTCGCAGCGTTCCACTAGGTTGTAGACAACTGTTGTACATAACTGGAAATATTTGTCATATGTTTTTATATTTATCCGTATGTCGGTCATTTTATCATGCTACTGCAGTGAAATTACTTAAAGGCGGAAGTGGTGTAGTGGCAAGTGGCACGCTTACCACGCGAGCGGTCCGGGGATCAAATCCTGGGTCGTGAGTCGCCCGGGCCAACCAAGCCTTCCATCCCTCCGGGGTCGTACCAGACTTGTCTGGGAGGATAAAAACACTGACTTGTACATCGGCTGGCCCCCGCAAGTCATTGTATAGGCCACATCGCATTCAAACGCCACTACGAATGTACAAATGGAAGTAGAATGCGTGCCGCATCCCAAAAAGGGATTGATCAACGGCAAATGCTTTG